ATAATTACGTTCATTGGCGGCTCGCGCGCGGCGATTCCGCCGTTTTCGCCGGCGCGGCCGCGGCCGCCGCGCAGGAAATTGGATACACGCTAATGGAAATTAATACCGCGATTGTGCCCGGCCGGCAGTTTTCTCTCGGCGTCGATCTTAAATGCCCGGCTCCGCTCCGGTCCTCGAGACGCTCGGGACTCGCCGGGTTTTATCGTAATTAAATCGACGGTGGACATTGTCGCCAATTTATTGAACCGCGTTTCCATAAATCGGGCCAAGATGGCCGCCGCTCGGGCTTTATCGCGCCGCAACGTCCTCCGCGTCCTCCGGGCCTTGTTATTGGCCGGCATTTTACACGAAGATGATCGTCCCCTGCGTTAATCGAGCCGGAATTATTTCTGCCTCCGGTTTTATGAATCCGACGGACGCGCCTTTAACGACCCCCTCGAAACCGACGATTCCGGGGCGATCTCTAATCTAGCACGATCTCCTATCATTCGTTTTATTGTTCTCTTCTTAATGATCCTTTCACCGGCCCGCTCGGATTGTAATTGGTCCGTCGGCGAATCAAGGGATTCGGTCTTCGGAGGGGAATCTTCTCTAAGATCTTTCTACAAACTGTGTGCTTTGCCGAAAAGCGTTTCAATGTCGACTAAAAATTGCACCTAGAAGGTTCGCATCTTGTTCTCTAGAAGGTTCAGATATATGAGAAGTGCAGAGTCCGAAGTGTATACCTCTGTCATTATTATTCTGAACACTATGAAAATTCCAGATAAAAAATCGCGAATTTACAGCAATATTCGTACGAAAAATTCTATTCTTAGCACGAAAAGATTTCGAGAATCTTTATATAATATAAACACAAGAATAAATAGTCTAAGTACTCGATACACTGAACAAGGTATAATTCAAAATGCATATTTCCCAGAACGTAACAGAGAATTCGCATTTGTTGTGTGTCTACTTTTATTCTAATGGTCAAACATCTACAACAGAAACGTAGAATGTTATTCGAATTAACCTCTTGCCATACTCTGACGACTCTGACTCATGATAAAAATTTCTAGTAACAAAGTAAATATGAATGCAATTCTGTTCTCTTCAGCCTGAATAAGATTCAGATTTCTTCTCATCGGTGTCTAAACATTCAAATAAATGTAGACACGCGATAAATAAAAATAATCTTTTCTCTTCTTAGAAATGATTGCGATCGAAAATCTTCTAATTATTGTAACTACGAAGAAAATGTCGCGGCAAGGGGTTAAGAAGAATTTTTACCCGTGACATAACCCTGTTAACATATTCGGTATGCTCTGCACGTCGTCGTAACGAGAACCGGCACGATATTATATGCGGAAGACACAAGATTCGCCGAAACGAATCCTCTAATCCGCAAAAAAATGTGAATTGCAGATAAACGTCGAAGGTCTGACTAGAATATAGTAAACTCGGAGGTCGGAGAGCACGTCGCCGGAACAAGCCATCGGCAGCAATTGAAACTGTAAGCAGCGCGGGATCGATACAAGAATTCCTCGCGAGTGGCCCTCGGCGGCCAGAGAGGCATCGGCGATCTTCGCCGTAGGATAAACGATCGCCTAATCCCGGCCGGGGTGTATAACCGTCTGCCAAATACCACGAGCAATTAGCCGCGGAATTAATGGAGGCGGCGAACCGGGCCACCGGCGAGAGAGACCGCGGCGAAATTTCTGGGGTTCCGTGTGCCCCGGGGAACTTTTCGAGGATTGTGGCACTTAACGGATGATTAAGAGGGCAAATAGAGAGCGGCCCGGTTAACGACGCTGTAGTTTCCATCCCCTGGAACCCTCGCCGCGACCCGCTCCCTAACACTCCCAGCAGGACCCTCGGAGCACGGTTTAATCGAGTTACCCCCATTTCGTAATCGCCCTCTGTCCCCGACGCCGACACCGACACCGGTTGCCATGGTGACCGCGAGCGGTCCTGAAACCCGATTGGCGGATCTTGACGCACGCGAGAACCCTGGGCCACCCCTTTGCCGCGTCCTACCGGCCAGGATCAGCTCGTCGCTTCGCGTTGCGGCGGCCGACCCTTCAACCCTCCCCGTTTCATCCCGCTATCTTTCGCCGCGTTCGCCCTTCACCCTTCGCTCCCCGCTTTCTCCAAATGTCTGTTTCTCTCCCTGTCTCTTTCCGCCCCCTGTCTCATCCTCGCCCCGTGTCCTTCTGCGCCCTCCCTCTTTCTACACCCTGTCCCGTTCTAACCCAGGTCTCTTTCTGTCCCCTGTGTCTTTCTCTCGATCGCTCTCTCTCTCCCTCTCTCTCTCTTTTTGACCCCTATCTCTTTTTCAACTCTCTGTCTCTCTCTCTCCAAACCTCTCTCTTCTTCTACCCCTTGTGTTCTAACTACCCCTATCCCTTTTCCCGTCCTCTGCCAGTTTCTGCCTCCCCGACGCTGTCTCCCAACCTCTCCCTTTCTGCCCCCGTCCCTCCAACCCTCGACCCGTCGCCCTCCGTCTCGCATTTCCGTCCATCCGGCTCTCTCCAGGCTCGCGGAACGAGCTAAAGGTGGATTTACACACTCGAGCCAGCTGGATTTACACTCGGTTTAACAGAGTTTACCCTCCGTCACCGGGGCGCGTAGGTGAGATCCGCGATCCACGACAGTATTTTACGGGGGCGCGCGGGTTGTAAATATCGCATAAAAACTTCGAACAGCTTGGACGATTTATGCCGCGATACCGACCACCGATTTTATTCGACCGGCCACGCCGACGCGACGCGACGCGACGTCGCTCTCGGAAACGAGGAACGTCCACTGGATCGTGGGAACCAAGTCTTCGCCGGAACGGGGAAACACCGGGAATTTCGTTCGGTTCGTTTTTTCCAGCCGGGCTGGACACACGGTGTCTGACAAATGGTAATCGGGCCGCTGGGATACTATGTAGTCAAATCAGTTTTTTAACGCGGCGGACAGCGAAACGTGGCCGGCACAAAGGTATCTGGGTGTATCGGGGTGATTTGTTAGGTCATGGTGCATTGTGATCCGTTTTGTGTATTCGATGCTGGACTTCGTTCGGGATTGTTGGACGTCTCATTCGAATCGAAGCGGGATTCTATGTTTTCTGGTGGCGATATTTAGTTAGCCACCGGTTAAATACTATAGTAACGAGAAGATTGTTAACGACCATGGAGGTTTTAATCAGCTTCGCTAGACCGCGGATTTTATGCATTTGTGGCAAAATCGGGGAGTTACGATTTAAAATATTAGAAAGATTGTAGGAATTTAAGAACGTCGATTTATTATTTTTAATCTATTAACCCCATGATGTACCAGTTTCTTCGCGGTCGTTGCGATTAGGAATTTCTCGATTGCAATAATTTCTTGGAATGATTAAATATCGATGACAAGAGATTAGAATTTTATTACAATTTCAAAGGACAGAACAGCATCTGTGCTCAATAATTTATTCCTAGACATTCTCGCGACGATTTGGACTCGTCAAAGTACGGCAAGGGGTTGAAAGAATTAACGTAAGAATGAACTTGCTATTTAATCCTTATTTCTTGCAATTCGTGCAGACAATTTCGCCTAAAAATCCGCGGTCTAGCGGAGGTAGATAATAACTTATTATAATAAATAGATAATAAATAATTTCCGGAGAATCGTTCGCAAAAAGAAAATCGTTCGCAAAAAGAAAATCGTTCCTTCTAAATTCGAAATTTATCGAACGCACGGTGTTCCCTTCGATCAAATTATTCCTTATCACATTATTCCTTATCAAATTATTCTTCTTTGCCAAACGGTCTTCGAAAAAGGCGAATTAGCCGAACGGTTAGCGACCCACGGCCAGCCTAACCGGACCCATCCTCGCCCCCATTCGATTCCACGATCGAGCCAGCACACAAAGCGTGTTTCTAAACAGTTTCTGTCGCAGAATGATCGTCGACGACGGTGCACGCGTGATCTCCGTTTAATCCGGGTCTTGTCAAAACCGCGTCGGATCCTCTGCTAGCCAAACATCCGCGGCCCGCCTGCCACCCCCTTCGCATACGTCGCCGACAATGCCGATTTCACGCGTTGATAGCTCGAAAATGGAGTCCATTCAACCCTTCTCTCGCAGGAAGCGCGGGGCCGGGAGAATGTGTATCTAACAGTCAATTCGGGGACAATGCCGGGGCCGGATCAGCCCTTCCTTTTCATCCCCCTTTTTTTCCGCGGCGCGGCGGGGTTCCGCGTCATTGACACGGACCATTGTAACCGGATACACTCTGCTTAGGGGTGGCTTCCAGACAAACCCCGGGACCGGCTTCTCTAACTAGTTGCCACTTAATTTGGCAAAGATCGAGGGTCGACGCCGTCGCGCGACCCTTTCGGCTCGGCTCTGCTCGGCTCCGCTCGGCTCGGCGAATCGATTGGCCAACGAAATGACGCTCGATCGTTTACGCTTTATCGCGGCCGTGATTTGCCGTGCTTGTGCTCTTCTTTCCGTCGAACGAACGGTTCGGTTCGAGCCGCCATTCTGTTCGGCGACGGTTGCGTCACCGATCGACGAGCTACGAAAATCGTCGCGCGGTTTGTTCGCGTTTTTCCGTTCGAATTTCGTCAGTTAACGGGAGCCACCCTTTGACTTCAAAGTCTGACACTAGATTTATGAAGCAGCTGTTGCATATTAATTTATTAGAGTAACGATGAATCATCTATTCCGGCGTAGAAGGAAGAAATCGAGCACCTCGACCGAGCAGCTTAACAAAAATAACTGAGACATTTGTACCGACTTTGAGCCAATATTGTCGCGACATTTGTCGCAACAATATTGAACGAATAATTTGCAAATGTACCTTTAGAATCTGAATAATCGTAAAACTGAAGGATCAGCGACCCGTCGTTCCGACGAGTACCAGAAACCTGGTGCGAACGACTCGCTCGGAACCGCTCGAGAGAATCGGCGGAGAGAACGATTATTTAACGTTTCGAGAACGGAAAAGAATAGACAAGAGAGGTAACCGTGGGTAAATCTGTTCGTGTTCCAGGTGAAAGTCTGGTTCCAGAACCGACGGACGAAGCACAAGCGGATGCAGCAGGAAGAAGAAGCGAAGGCGCAACAGCAATCCGGCGGCAGTGGCGGCGGAGGTGGCGGAGGCGGCGGAGGCGGGGGTGGGAACGCGAACAACAACAGCAACAACAAGAACACGCATCACGTGAGCAAGTGGCAGCAGGAGACCGGTGACTACCACCACGAGGAGGAGGAGGAAGAGGAACACATCGATCCGGAGGCGGAGGAGTGCTCGAGCGGCTCCGAGGCGTAGCTAGACGTTCTCTGCCTGGACTTAGACGCCAGGAGTCCCGTCTGATCGACGAGAACGCCGACCGATCGGTCCCGATGCAGTCGAGAACTGTACCGCGGATCGATGGGATCGCGATCCTGGCAGAGAACCAGCGGCGACCAACGCCAGAAAACAGAGCCGCGAGAACGGCTGGAATCGCGCGACAGTTACGGAAAGCGGGCGGACACATTCTGGAGCATCGTCGTCTCGCGACGAGACGCATGCCGGTTCTGGCAACAATCGTTCGATCGGGCGCATCCGTCGTTCCTAGTAAATCGTTCGAATTCTCGAGAATTGTCTCGTCGACACGCGAATGCGACGACAACAACACTCGACTGAAGTCGACGCGCGTTCGCTTGTTTCCGATTGTCGAAAATTCGGCTCGCTCTTTCAGAGTTTTGCACGCGTCGCCTAGATTCGGCGCATAAGAATGCTCGAGAGCGAAGCACAGAAGGTTAGACGATCGTTTGTGGTGTGATTAGCAAAATTTCTTCGGAACTTCGATCGTTGTTCGGAGCATTTCAAAAACGTTCCGACGCTTTTGATCCTCGCAGCGATTAAGAGCTCGCGCGAAGCCCTACGATCGCGTCCCTTTGCTTCCCAGAAACTATTCGAACTAAAATTTTGTTGTTATTATCATAGTCTTGCCGTGCCTCTGGGTCCGAAAGAACCCGGACGTGGTACGGCGAGGGTTGAATTCGACATTCGGTGAAAAGTTCTCCAAAGAACGACCGAACGTCGAACTTCTGGAACCGTTTGTTCGTCGAACGCGCCGTGCCACTTTTGATTTTTCGTACTCGCCCCGGACGTTCGTCGCGTTCGGGATCGAAGATTTTCTCGTCGGAGCTGCCAACTACGGAGAGTTAACTACGGAGCTGCTAACTACGGAGAACTACAGAAGTTCCTCGGTGAGTTCTGATATCCAGAACAAGACGAACTCCGTGGAAAACCGCGGCGTACGGGTGACCCGAGACGGAGGAGCGGTAATTCCGAGGATACCAAAACGTCGTGGAAGCTTCGGTTTTCTCGAAAATTCGGAAGAAAGTCTCGCGGAGCGTGAAGACGCGCGCGAAATCCAAAGAAGAGCAGAAATCGAGGAGGAATCGGATGCGAATCGAATCCATTCGAACAGTTCGAACGATCGGAACGCGACGGTGCGGAGCACGAGCAATTCCAAAAAATCGATTCGAATTGCCGGAATCGAATGACGCTGACCTTGTCCTCTGGAAAGGAACACCCCCGGTTGCAATCGCGCGAGGTTAGGGGAGCCTCGGAAGCTGGCTAATGGAGGCATTGTTCCTCGGGAACCGAAATGGACAGAGTTTCCGGCGGAAACGGGGACGCCGCGCCGTTCTCATCGACGGAATCGCCGCCCGGTCCTTTCTTCGCTTTTACCATAGTTCCTCAGTCGAATTCGTGCAGAAGACACCGGGAATGTTTCGATCGGGGCTTGACACGGCCCCGAAAAACAACCGTTTCATACTGTTACGCGCTCCCGGTTCACGCAGATTACGAAGAACCTTCATTTTCGATTACTGTTCCGAAAGGCCATTGTCCGTTTCGGTTCTAACTCCGAAATGACTTCGCAATGAATTTCTCTATGCTTTTTCGTCCAACGCATCATCGCGGTTGACGCAGCTCTTCGTCCATTTCCGAGTAGCAGAGTAAATTCTCCCAAATTTTTCGTTGAGGAATTGCAGTAAATTCTATCGAATTTTCCTTCAGCTTGTAAACAAAGATGGACAATTTGGGAAGAGGAGACACGATTATTCGCGCCAACGTTTACTTTGCGCCGAGATCCACGGTCTACCGGTAGTAAGCCGCATTAAATTACAGCGACGAGATCAATCGAATATCGCGGTAATTTTTTTCAAGCAATTATTAAGCCAGTCGGCGAGATAAAATCGAATCGATTCGTTCGAGCGATACCAAAAGCGCGATAGAGGTATTTTACGAGTAAGAAATGTGCGCGTTATTTGCAACTCCGATGATTATCACACGGTGCCGATCACCGAGAAATCGATGGAAAAATCGATGGAAAAATCGATAGAACCATAGAGCCATATCGGAGCGAGCCGTCAGCGAATCGAAGCATCGAAACGGGCAATGAAATTTTCGGTTCTCCGCACAGTAGTTGCACGCGACAAGGGTTTTTCGTTCACGCAAATCGATGTTAAAAAGCAGCTTTCGAGCCCCGTCAAGGACACAATCAGCCCGAGAGTAGAAAAAAAAGGGGGCGGCTTTCGGCCGTTCGATCGTTGTCGACGCGTCCGCGCAGTTGCATCTTGCCATAGAACACATTGAACCCCTTCCTTAGCCCCCCCCCCCCACCCTTGCCCAACACCCCCGTCCCACCCATGATCGTGTAAATAAATAACCGAGAAGAATCGAAGACTGTGGTCCGTGGCTGTGACCCATGGATCGGCCATCCTGCGTCCTCCGCGAGGGACGAGAGGGATCTCTTTTAATCCGAGGTTAGAGAGTGTAAATAGAGAGAGAGAGAGAGAGAGAGAGCTGATGATGACGACAGAGGCGAGAGAGAGAGAGAGAGAGAGAGAGAGAGAGAGCGAACGATAGCGAACGTGTGATTGTGCTAGTACGTATGTGCATGTGTGTGTGCGTCGGCGTGCCGTCGGCGGTGCGATTGTGTCGCGAAGAGGGAGGACAGAGTGCCAAATTTCGTACCCTTAGGGATCATCCCAGTGTAAACTCGAGTTGTACTTGCGATTGTATTTAACTTCGTTGCCCCGCGAGCGACCAGTATTCCCTTTTTCGATCGATGTCTCCGAAAATGTACTGACGAATTAAATTATTGTATCGATAAAGCGTTAGAGGGCGGCTCAGAGCGAAGGCGATCGTTCCCCGAGGACAAACACCGTTTCTCCGATCGTTCCCGGTCCTCGCGAACGATCCCGGCCCGAGGGGACCCGGAAATATTCTCTTTCGCCGGCGAGAATTGATCCGAGCGAGATTCAAGAGATCACATCTCGAAGCTCCCTCGGATCGAACGACGTCGCCCGATTCTCGCAGAACGATCGGCTCCGCGCGCGGCTCCGTTTGTACATAGATAGTATATAAAAGAATTGTGATTTTACTCGACGTGCAAAGGCGTAGGATTGTACGATCATCGGATGACTCAGTTCGTGTTCTAACGATATAGCGAAATAAATTATATCATCTCTTCACGATACACCTGCCACACGTGTTTTCATTATTTATTTCACCGCCACTTTTTCTTTTTTGTTCACCGTCCACGATTCCAGCGCGAATTACCAAACGAATTTATCGCACTTTCGATGTCGGTTCTACGGCGATTATTTAAACGCCGGGAATAATGATCGTAGCATGCAAAACGTTTTTGACGGTGGCTATTAGTCCCCCCCCCCTCTCCCCCTTCCGACAAATCGTTTTCACGGAAGTGTCCCTTCGCGGGGCCCCGCCACCGTTTCGCAATCCGCCGGCCGATTCTTGTCGATAACACTGTCCGACAAAATCAAACCTTTTTTCTGGGTTTCTATAGCCACTATGAAATTCTTGTAGAGCTTCACTTCCTGAACAAGAATCCGAAAACCGAATTGCTCCATCACCCTCAGTATTTTAAATAAACGAACTTTTGTACAAACCCAAAATTTTCGACAAAAATGAGGTATTGCATGAAAAGTACAAACGTTAGAAAGTTCTAATTGGTGTTAAAAGATAGAGGAGAGTTTCCCGAATATAGTGGCATGCAATTTAATAATTGTTTTTGATCCTAAATAGCAATAAATTAATGTGAAAGTTTAAAAAAGTGTCGACGTGAGCAGTTTCTGCGCAATATTTTTGTATTTTTACGAAAAGTTTTTTGTTCAGCACGAAAACTCTACGCAGGATCGGATTCTGTAGACATTTCTGAAGAAGAAACGGCCCGATAGAAGTGTCGGAACGATGTACATTTCGAGTAGGTCGAGAAAATGTTCGTCGGCAACATGTACACGACGTTTTGCCGCCATGTGCTTCGCTGCTCGCTTCTCTCTGTCCGACAGGGCCGAAGCTATGGGTAATCAACACCGATGGAGGGATCCAATGGGGCACCCACTTTTCGTAAATAATATTTGAATTTTTTTTAGTACTTCAATGTTCTGTTTTTTTTTTACATATTTCTGTGGATAATAATCACCAAACTGTGATATATTTCACACAAAAAATCACACCAGAGTATTTGGAGTTGGTAACGAAAGTATTCTAACACTAGCATAATTTTGACTTCTACGCCATATAAGTAAATAAATATTTAAATATATATTTAACGATATGTTTCAAGAAGTTTAACGTTTTGAAAATGATTATTTATTCATGATCGTATTATCGTTATAATTTAAATGATAACTGTATACATGATATACTTGTAATTCGAACAAATTCAGAATAAAATGAATATTTTTTGTTCATTATTTTTCTTTTATTATTTCTCCATTTTTAATTTATGATTCACAGTTTGGCGATTATTATCCATAAAAATATGTAAAAGAAGACAGCACATTGAAGTACTAAAAAAAAATGGCACGCCCCACACGCTAAGTGGGTGCCCCATTGGATCCCTCCATCGGTGTTGATTACCCATAGCTTCGGCCCTGTCGGACAGAGAGAAGCGAGCAGCGAAGCACATGGCGGCAAAACGTCGTGTACATGTTGCCGACGAACATTTTCTCGACCTACTCGAAATGTACATCGTTCCGACACTTCTATCGGGCCGTTTCTTCTTCAGAAATGTCTACAGAATCCGATCCTGGGTAGAGTTTTCGTGCTGAACAAAAAACTTTTCGTAAAAATACAAAAATATTGCGCAGAAACTGCTCACGTCGACACTTTTTTAAACTTTGACATCAATTTATTGCTATTTAGGACCAAAAACAATTAATAAATTGCATGCCACTATATTCGGGAAACTCTCCTCTATCTTTTAACACCAATTAGAACTTTCTAACGTTTGTACTTTTCATGCAATACCTCATTTTTGTCGAAAATTTTGGGTTCTTACAAAAGTTCGTTTATTTAAAAAACTGAGGGTGATGGAGCAATTCGGTTTTCGGATTCTTGTTCAGGGAGTGAAGCTCTACAAGAATTTCATAGTGGCTATAGAAACCCAAAAATCGTGTCGGACAGTGGAATCGCTTTATAATCGCCGCTCTCGAGACGAATAATTACGCCGG